TGAGCTTCTTTTCTCACGGCTAGCCCTTTACCAATTGAACCACATCACCACTTCCAGCCTTTTCCATTTATGTGGTACTGAGGAATTGAACCCAGGGCTTCATGCATGCTAAGCCACATTCCCAGCCCTAAATATATAAGAACTTAAGGTCACTCTCTGGACTTGGAGAGTGGGTTACATCAGTACCTCCTCACCATGAAATTCCATTTTCTTTGTCCTGTAAGATGTTCATGGAGTGTCAGGATGCTGTGGGTATGAAAAGAGGTCTAGAGGTAGGCAAAAGGTCATCAATGACATCAGAAAGGGTGTGTTTCCACTTTTAAAACATAAGCTTTAGAAACCACAAAGAGCACATATACTATCTTTGTTGTATCATTCTTAGTTCAAATCTAGCATTCTCCTGTATAAGGAGGCAATATGTTTGTAATACTATGTAAAACTTGTTTCTGTATGTACATGGTAAAATTACTTTGCAATGCAAATTTGCCTTACTATTTCTGTTCTATAATAATATGTGCTTATCAAATAGTTTTTAAATGCCCTTCGAATATTCTGTGTGACTATTTTTCCTGGTCTTCTTGTTTCCATCTTAGTAGACTCATGCTGAAAGAATTATCTTCCTTGAATGCAGAGCCCTGGGTCAAGAGAGATAAAAGGAAGGTGGAGCTGCCCAGAGCATGCTGGGAAATAGAAGGGAGCAAACACTCACGGTAGAACATTCAGAGTCGATTTGTCACTGATAACCCAGAGCAGACACAGCAGCAGGCCACTCTAGAAGGGTTTCAGAACAGCAGATTTTGGACAGTGTGAACATAGGCCTGGCCTGAGGAGAAGTAAGCGTAGCCCTGATATTTGCTTCTGGGGCAGGAAATGCAAGTGAGGCAAATTCAGTATGCAATGACTAATTTTCTTTTTTTTTCTTTTTCTTTTTGTCAGTCATGGGGCTTTAACTCTGGGCCTGAGCACGGTCCCTCAGCTCCTCAGCAAAAGGCTAGTGCTCTACCACTTGAGCCACAGTGCCACTTCCAGCTTTCTGCTGGTTTATTGGAGATAAGTGTTTCATAGCCTTTCCTGCCCAGGCTGGCTTTGAACTGTGATCCTCAGATCTCAGCCTCCTGAGTAGCTAGGATTACAGGCATGAGCCATCAGTGCCTGGCACAATGACTAATTTTCATGAAGAGAAAAGAAATCTAACAAGGGAGTGGCTTTACAACTTATTACATGATCTCCAGATTCACACAGACCATTCCACATTTATTTATCAAGCAAGTACTTATTAAGAGAGCTTCCAGACCTCAAGGCCCTTAAAAACTAGTCAACAGGCTCAAGACCATTCTCCGTTCTAATAGGAGTGGCATTTTAAAAATGCTGGTGGGGGGAGGGAGGGTGGATGGGAGGGTGGATGGGAGGGGAGAAGGGAAGGGATAGCTAATTCTGACTCAGGAGACCATGGAAGGCATCCTGGAGGAAGTGAGGTTGAAGATGGGAGGGAATGGGTGAGCTGAAGTTAGCTAAACTGTAAGGTTGAGGAGTGGGAACTGTAAGGTAAACAAGTTCAGGCAGAGAACAGGATGGTGTATAAGGGTATATTTGTCAGCTAAAGCAAGCATTTACTTATTTTTGTTGGTAGAATTGCCATTCAGTGTTTATGATCTCCTAGCCTATCTATGCCTATCTGAGCTAACAGATACCTGGATCAGAGTTTTCAAAGTGCCTGCTGAGTCTTCAGTTCTGGAAGATCTGCAGACTTTGGACTTGACTTTCATTGTTAAGTGTCATTTAATATTTCCCAAATAAACTTAAAAATTTCCTAAGAGTCTTGAGTTATTTGATTCTTCAACTTCTGTATTGAAAAATAGTTTCAGAAAAGTTTTGAGTGTAATACAAAAACAAAAACTACTACTTATTTAATTACTTTACCAATTGTTAACATTTGCTTTGTTCCTTTATATCTCTCCACATATTATCCTCTTCTCCTTCTCTTCATCTCATGATGATTGCTGTGATTTTTATCAAACAGATCTCATATCTTTTACTCCTAAATACTTTCAGAAGGTATGGGTTAAAACATGAATATTCTCTTAAAGAATCCCAGTTCCAAGGATCAGATTCAGGATTACTAACATTGACAATATAGCACTATCTAATATGCATTTGCTTTCACCAGTTGTCCCAATAATACCCTTTACATTTTCCTGGTCCAAAGTCCAGTAGAGGATTACACATTACCACTAGCAGTGATGTCTCCTTGTTTGTCTTTAATAATACCAGGTCTCAGTCTTTTTGTCTTTCTCACCAATGATACTTTGGAAGAGCACAGACCAAACATCATTTTGTAAGCTGTTCTTTGAAGTGAATTTATTTGCTGTTTCTTCATGACTCCATTCAGCTTGTGTGTGTGTGTATGTGTGTGGGGTATGTGTGTGTGTGTGTGTGTGTGTGTTATAATAATCAGGTAAGCAGGATTGTATCTTTTGTAGGAGATCACACCAGGAAATTTACAGTGTCAGTGGGTCTTATTGATAATGGGAACTTTTGTGGTTTTAAAAAAAAATCTATCTGAAACCATGTAAGAAACATACATAGCCAGATGTGTTTCTGTTCAACTTTTATCACAAAGGAGATTAATAGTGAGATAAACTTCTCTAGTTTACTTTGTTGGAATGCAGAACACATTGCTTAGTCTCCTCTGCTATGTCGGCATGTATTTGGACTTGGTATAAATGTGGCCATTGATTATAAAGTTGCAAGCCTTAAAGGGCTGAATGTAAACTTATACAAGTAACAAATTGCAAGGGAACCGTGTATATCAGAATTTTCTTAATATTGTACAGCCAACACACACACACACACACACACACACACACAATTAAACTGGAATCAATAGTGAGCTTTTGGGACAGTCACATTCATAAATTAATAAAAAATACCCTCTGTACATGGCATGCATTTTATTTCCTATTTGGAGCTTCTTTGAAAGATATTGATTATAACAAAGTTCTCTTTATTTGGGTATAAAAAAGGCACAGTATCTCTCTATGGTTCCCACCTCCAAACAGTTTCTGCAATCCTTAATAGCTCTTCCTGGTACTTAGGAGTCTTTATCAACCCAGATCTCACAGACAACACATACATCTACTTAACAATTGGTTTTTGGGTGTGTTCCTTGGTTGCTATAAACTACACAGAATTTGATATCTATTTCTTTCCCTTTTGTGAAGCTTAGTTCTGCTATGGTAAAGCACACCAATGTAAACATTTTAGGACCATAGGCATACTCTTTGTACCTGCCTGCTTAACCACTGATCCACACACACACACACACACACAAATGACATTAGACAATCCTACCTTGGGTGTCTAGCCCAGAGTTCTTATTCCCACAACTGAGGACATTGGGATCCATCAAGTGTATTCTAAAGAAGCAAAACTTCATGGTAGCTAGACTGTAGCCCAGCTACCTCAGCCTGTGCCAGGGGCTGGGGTGGTTTTCTAATGGCAGAGGTGCTCCTTGAAGGTGATCAAGCTGCCTTTCTCTCTCTTGGCAGGTGTGGGTTGCTGGCAACTGTAGAAGGCATTGAACAAGGTCCTTCAGTCTAGTTTACTCATCTCAAATTCAGCCAGGGAGCTGAAGCCCAGCCAGGTCCTTGCAGAGCTCTAGATTTCCTCATTGATTTTGCAAGAGAAGATGGTTCTAATGGAAGCACAGAGCAAGAAAGGTATGGATGCCCTAGGATGTCTTTTTCATTGGGAAAAATGCATTCATTGTTTTAAAAAAAATTCTCCAAACCCACCCAATGTAGCTATAACTGGACACCACTTATAATGCAATCCATTGCATTCAGCCAGGACAGATTTCATACTTAACTTGTGCAAGGCACAAGTGATGGGCACCAAAAGGGATATCAAGAAATTAAGGACATTGGGGGCAGGGGGAGGATGGGATGGGAAGGGGAAACAAAGGAGGAGGTTACAATGCTTGATAAGAAATGTACTCATTATCTTGCTCATGTAATTGTAACCCCTCTGTACAGTATTTTCACAATAAAAAGATTTTAAAAAAAAGAAATTAAGGACATAATTTCAAGTGCCAGAGGCCTACAGTAATCCTAAAGAGGTGATGATATGTGTATTAAAATGTTTAATGACAAGATAACATTTGTTGACTCACTCGGATGAGAAGAGAAAGTGGATCACCAGGAATGGAAGCAGTTCTCCCTATGTGACTGAATGCTGGGGCTCGTAAGTCAAATGACCTGTCTGAAGTTGCAGCATCTCCTCTTCTTAGCTGTGACAAATTCAGTAAAGCACTTAGAATAGCACTGTGCAATTTTTGGTGACCTCAAAGCGCTAGCTATTATTATCATCTGCGCTTGAGCCAGCACTTCAAAAATGGGTAATGCGTGAGCATTTGTTGTCATTTAGCAGGCCAGGGCAGAAGGCGGGTTTTATTCTAGAAACCTGATTCCAACTAGTGGACTTAAAGCGGCTGCACCTTCCTCCGCCTGACATTCCAGTGTTGGTCCCAAGGGGGCGCTGCGATCCAACCACGGCGGCTAACCCGAGGCGCGCCCCCGTCCCGCGCGTGCGCGCCATCCAGGTGAGGAGGCGGTGGCTGAGCTGAGACGGGACGGGGGGGCGGGGCTCCTCCGAAGGGGCGGAGCCAGAGAGGCCCGAGCGGGGCGGAGCCGGGCGAGACCAAGGCCAGAGGCGGGACCAGCCGCCGCCGTCGTCTCCGTCTCGGTTCCCTGGCCCCCCAACACGCCGGGCAGGGCAGCCACCACCAGAGAAGCGGAAACCGTCGGCTGCACCCTCCGGGAGCCGCGCGGGTCCTGGAGAGCGCCGAGGCGCCGCGGCGGTAGGCTCGGTCAGTCCGGGATCCCCCGCAGCTCCTCACCGAGCGGCCCCGCCCCGGCCCCGCCCGAGCTGTCCCCGGGCCTCCGGAGCGGCCCCCGCGGCCCGAGCGCGCCCACCTGAGCCGGGCCTGCGCGCCCCCCACCCCGTCCCCCCTCAGCCCGCGGGGCCGGCACCATGGCGGAGCAGGAGAGCCTGGAGTTCGGCAAGGCGGACTTCGTGCTGATGGACACCGTCACCATGCCCGAGTTCATGGCCAACCTCCGGCTCAGGTGAGGGGCGGGGTGGCTGCGCACCGGGCGTGGGGTGGGTGGGTGGGGGGGTGCGTGGCTTAGCTTTCCCGGTGCTGCTGAGGCGCGCGGCCGCCCCAGGGCGCGGTGACAGGGGTCGCGCCTTCCGGGGAGAGAGAGGACGCCGCTGGGGCGCGCGCGGCGTGGGGATGGGGGGGCGTGCCGGGCCTTTCCGGAGAGGCCGTGGGGGGGGGGGGGAACAGCTGAGCTGGAGGTCCGGGCCCCCGCACCGGCCCGCCCCGCGCCAGGTGAGGGCTGTGGGCGGGGCCCGGTGACCTCATGGAAACCCAAGTGAAGGAAAAGAGAAACTTTAGGGGGAGCGTCGGCTCGGCCCCCACCCTACCCCCGAGCGGGGGGGGGAGAAGCTGGCGCTGTATTCCCTCCCCCCCCCCCCCCCCCCCACGCAGCGTTTCATACTTGCTGCTTTTCTTCTGCTCGCTTTACCTGGCGTGGTTCCATGCCATCATCGTTCAGGATGCTGTGGGATGATCCCTGAGTTGTCCATTCCCGGCCACTGGCTTATTCTTTTTTTTTTTTTTAAGTTACTTACTCAACGTAATTAGACACGTTTCCAGACATCGAAGAGACCGCGAGGACTTGGCCAGTGCCAAAGTAAACGGTCTGAAATTGACAAGGCGTTCACGGTTTCAGTTTGGTTGCTTTTTTTTTTTTCTTGTTCAGGAGTTATAGATGGAGCCCTTGTGTGACTGACATCCTAGGGAAGCTAGTGACAACTCCAAAGGCCCCAGCGTGGGCTTCCCCCATGAATTTGTCTTAGAACAAATGCATGTGGTTGTGTCTGAGCAGGACTCGAAAGCAGTTCGACTTTTAAAAGAGTACAGTTAAGGGAATTTCAGAATAGCTCACGTTTTTGGTTCTTTTTGTGTGTGTGTTTTGTGTTTTCTTTTCTTTCTTTCTTTTTTTTTTTTTTTGCAGGGACTTGGGTGTATTTTTCCTGGAAGCTTTGCCTCATTTCTTGTAAAGTTTATAGTGAGACACTCACTCCCTCAACTTAAAAAGTGTTGGATGCTTAACTAACACCACTTCATATTACTTACCACTGCCAACCCTAATTTCAGAATTCTCTCTCTGTGTGTCTCTCTTTCTCTGTCTCTGTGTCTCTCTCTTTCTCTGTCTCTCTCTGTGTGTCTCTTTCTCTCTGTGTCTCTTTCTCTCTGTGTCTTTCTCTGTCTCTCTCTCTCTGACACACACACCCACACACACACAAACACACAAACCGGTTTAATCTTTGAAATTGCAAACCATATGATTTCATCTGTTTTGATCAGGCATTCTTGGTCTTGTCCCAGAGGCAGAGTGGTAGTAGAGCAGGAGCACAGGTTGAGTGTTATACCTGTCTCCTATAATCTGACCTTGAGTTGATGCATGGGCTAGTTTCCTCATTTGTAAAACATGAGGATCTCCTGGATTTCTTTCAGGGCTCAGGTGCTAGGATTCTAAGTTTTCCAAGGTTAGATGGTCTCAGAGTTGCACTGTATCTTTCTGAATAAAGTGTTGCATCCTGCTATATGGTTGCTTTTTATTTTTATTGTTTTTTTTATTAATATTTTGGGTTCCAAGACTCACTCCCTGCAGAGTCTAAAATCTGAGACTTAGTCAAGCCTTAGGCACCTGTAATCCCAGCTACTCCAGCAGCTGAAAAGGATATGTGTGGCCCAGGGAGTGTTAGTTTTGAGTTGGAGGCCAAATATGAGAATACTGAAGTCCTTCCTCTAAAATAATATAGTAAAGTAGTCCTTTTATGTCTACATTGAAGGGATTCAAGAGACTCCTACTTTCCCGTGGATGCCTCAAATCCCAAATAGAATTACATGTTTTTCCTGTATTTACACATTTATAACATTTAATTCACAAGTTAGATACAGTAAGATAACTAATAATAAAATATAACTACTATAGCAGTATGCTGTAATATAAAGTTATGTGAATGAGCTTCTCTCTCATAGTTATTCTCACCTTTGTTGACTGCATATAACAAATTGCAGGAAGTGAATTTTTGGGTAATAGAGGACTAATGTATTTCCATATAGCTTGTGCACATCTTTATGTATGTATCCATACATTATATACATATACATATAACTTTTCAGTACTTGGAATCGAACCTAGGGCCTTGTGCGTGCTAGACAAGTGCTCTATCATGGAGCTACATCCCCAGCCTCTTCTGTGTATCTAAAAGCATTGCTAGATTACTTATAATACTTAATACAATGTGGGAGTAGTTGTATATTATTTGGAAAATAACGACAAAAGTCAATGTTCATACATGTTCAGCATAGACACAATTTTTTCTCCAAGCCCCTGCCCCCAAACCTGGGGCTTGAAAACTCTGGAGGCTTGGGGACCGTCCCTGAACTGCTTTTGTTCAGGGCTGTCTACTACTTAAGCCACAGCACTGCTCTGGCTTTTTCTGAGTAGTTTATTGGAAAGAAGAGTCTCTGGGATTTACCTACCCAGGCTGGTTTCAAATTGCAATCTTCAGATTTCAGCCTCCTGAGTAGCTAGGATTACAGGCATGAGCTCCAGGTGCCTGGCTTCTCCACGTATTTTAGACATTCTGTTGTTTGACGGATGTAGAGCCAGAGATGCAGAGGGGCAACTGGAATCAGATTTATATGTTCAAACCATTATGATAGCATGTTACCTTTTGGGACACTACAACTGGAGTTTGAACTCAAGGCCTTGTACTTGCTAGGCAGGTGCTCTACCACTTGAGCGGCACTCCCTGCCCATCCCCCACCCTTTTTATATAAGGTCTTGTTATGTGCAGACCTATTCTATAACTATCCTCCTGCCTAAGCTTTCTAGGGATTATAGGCATGAGATATCATGCCTGGCTTGCATGTTACATTTTGACCAAAGTTTGGATACCTAACTTTTATAGAAATGACTTCAAATACCATATTAATCAAAATGGCATAACTCTATGCCAGCTTAACCAATAATAGTTATAACAATGGTTAAGAGTCAGACTATTGAGATTCAATTTCTATTTCTAGCATTTTCTTGCTGTGGTCTATGGACAAACTACTCAGATCTCTTAGTGTCACTATCTAAAGAATTTGGGTTGTCTTGAGGGTTATTTTAGTTAATATATGTAATTTCAAATATTTGTGCATGGGAAACACTTCCTAACCATGTTGCTTAAAAGTTTTCTCAAGTGCTCATGAGACAGAGACATTAAATAGTAATTTCATAGATGAGGCATGTTCAAAATTATTTAAGAGATTCTATCCCTTTTCCTTATGAAAGAAACTTGTATGCTTTAAAAAATTCTTAATAATTTAGTCACTCAGTTTATAGTTATCTCAGTTTATCAGACTAAGTACTTTTATTAAATACATATTGCACAAAGGCATTATAATGATAGTTGAATATGAAGCCATTTATTTTAACCTCCAGATGCCATGTCTAGATGGCATTTTCCAGAACCTAGCAGAATTATCCAAATTTGAAATTGAAGGCTTAAACCAGGAACATAGCACATGTCTGTAATCTTAGAGCTCAAGAGGCTGAGGCAGAAGGATCAGAAGTTTGAGGCCAGCCTATAGTACAAAGTGAGATCCCGTCTTGGAAAAAAAATCAGAAAGAAAGATAAGAAAGGAGGGAGAGAGGGAAGGGGAAAGAGAGAGTAAAGGAAAGAAAGAGGGATTTAAAAGCTTAGAGTGTGTCGGGCGCTGGTGGCTCACACCTGTAATCCTAGCTACTCAGGAGGCTGAGATCTGAGGATCGCGGTTCAAAGCCAGCCTGGGCAGGAGAGACCGTGAGACTCCTATCTCCAATAAACCACCAGAAAACCGGAAGTGGCGCTGTAGCTCAAGTGGTAGAGCGCTCACCTTGAGCTGAAGAGCTGAGGGACAGCGCCCAGGCCCAGAGTTCAAGCCCCACGACCGACAAAAAAAAAAAAGCTTAGAGTGTAACTGTTATAGAACTATCCTTATGGCTTTAATTTTTTTTAATTTGGGGGCTGGGAAGGTGGCTCAGTGGTAGAGTACTTACCTTGCATGCATGAGTCTCTGAGATCAATTCCTCAGCACCACATAAGCAGAAATAGCTAGAAGTGGCACGGTGGCTCAAGTGTTGGAGCACTAGCCTTGAGCTGAAGAGCTGATGGACAGTGCCCAGGCCCAGAGTTCAGACCCCATGAATGACCAAAAAATAATAATTTTTTTTCAGCAGTGCTGATGATATAGCCCAGGGCCTTGTGCATGCTAGGCAAATGTTCTACCCCAATCCTGTGGCTTTTTTTTCTTTTAAAGAAAATTGAGGGAGAACAATTAGAATGGGTTTTTTTGTTGTTGTTGCAACATGTTAGGCTGTTTTTAGATTACTAAGGTGACTCTAACTTCTGTCCTACATGTGTCAAGATATTTAATTCTACTATTTAAAAGGTGGAATATTTATGCAGTCCTAAACTATATTATTTTAGTTTTACTTTGCTTGAGGTACTCTGAGGATGAGATGGATAGATCCAAAGACGTATGAATAAAATGTGCCTTTTGTACCTCAAAGAGAAGAAAGGTGACAGTTTCTATTGGTTAAAAATAAATAAACAACAGAAGAGAGAAGCTGACTAGAGCCTAGGTGTTTATTTGCCAAGTAATTATAAAACTCTGGAAGTTCAGAAGAGGGAAAGATGCCACAAATTGACTCAGAAATACCATACAAAGGAGGAGAGGAGAAGCTGAGTCCCAGAGAATGGGTAGTGTTTGTCTACATGGGTGGAGAACATTCCAGGTAGATAAAGTGGCCTGGGCAGAGGATGGTGGCCTGAAAACTAACTCTGCCTGAATGATAATGAATACGCCTCCAAGTCTATAGGGAAGGGGATGGTGTTGGGGAATCTTTGGGAAGAATCACTAAGTCTCATTAGCATACTTGCTCGTGTGCAGGTTTCTGGGTTTACCCTGACACCCAAACCACCACATCAGTCAGGATTATTCAGATGTGTGTATATATTT